AGGATTAACCCAAAAAGAAGAGATGAAGGGAAGGATATATGTTTATGTATGCAATCATGCTACATGTACGTTTTTTTTACATCGCGCCACGTGACGACGCATAATTGGACAGTTTTGAAAAAAAAAACACTTTCATACCCATCACTTTTTGAATTTCAATGGAGCGTCCATAAAGAAGTGAACAAAATGATGTAAACTTAAATTTATTCTTATGTACCCATGTATATTGGAGGGTGAGGAAAAGGTAGACATAGAGCATCTTGAAAAACCTTTCGAGGCTTACGCCTTGAGTACCATCTCATATGAACCTTTCCTAGAAGGTCTCAAAACTTATGCCTTAAACGTCATTTGTGAGACTTATGCCTCAAGGCTATGTCGTATAAAGCGACTAAAGTGTTCGCCCAGGAAATATTTTATCCATTCTCAACGCAACCTGATAATTTACCTCGTTAGATTTTATTTTTATTTTTTTAAAAGAGAATCAAAGAATTTTATCTCTCTATTACATCATTGCATTTGGACTTTAATTTATATTTTAAGTTGATAATTGTGTTAAGTCAATATTAACGGCATTACGTGTGCTTTGGGGATTTTTTTTTTTTTTTCGGTGTCAAGTATTGTTAGTCAAGTATACGGTGCCTTGTTTGAATTCCATTGTTTGAAAAAAAAATAGATTTTGAAATAGTCGTTTTTTTGGAGAAATATGTGGTTGAAAAGTAGGAAATAGTGATTTTTGGAGGAATGTGATTGAAAATGAGATTCGAAAAAAATGTATTACCGAATAATGGGTTTCAAACAAGTGCTATATATATTAAAATAGAATTTCCAATTAATAAAAACTTAATAAATAAGATATTTTGTTAGAGAGTAACGTGGCCACTAATATATTCACTTATATTAAGCTCTAGATGAATTAATTCTCGTTCGACTCTAAAAATGTTAATTACATTTTCATAATTGACGTGAATTTATCGTTTAATTATTATTATATTTGGTATTTTGATAAAGTTTTTATTGAAACTCAATTTTAATTTTAATGCATTTTCTTTTATCTTATTTTCAATCATACATTCTTAATAAAATAATATTACACGTAAATTCAAAATATTTTTCTTATTTTTTAACTACGCGTTCTTCAAAAGATGACTATTTTAAAATACCTTTTTAAATTTTTTTTTTTTCACTAAAATGGAGTTCAAACAACAGCTAGATTATATTTTAAACTGATCAAACACACTTTTTGTCCACTCATTCTATAAACGCACGACATATTATAGGACTTGTTACTTAGTCCTTGTTTGATCTCAATTATTTTTCAAATACATTTTCCTTATTTTTTAACCACACATTTTTCATCAATATACTATTTCAAATGTATTTTTAACAAAAAAAATCAGCTCAAACAGGCACTTAATTTATAAGTTTAGCAGTAACAAACAAATTATACTAAAAACAAAATGATGTAAAATGTTTCAGAATTATGTCACGTGATATTAATTTCAAACTACACTTCTTTCTTCTGTCTTGTTACTCAGCCCCGTTTGGCCTCCCATTGAAATTAATACATTTTTTTTTCTCTTTTTTCCAATCACATATTCTTTAAAAAATATATATACTATTTCAAAAATTATAATACCAAATAATGGATGCCAAACATATCATTAATGTCATGCACAAAATTATTGTTATCCAAAACGTTCTATAAGTTCATGGCCCTTTTCCATTTATTTTAGGAAGAATTGCAGCCGAGCTCTCAAACCTTTCAAATTATTGTATAATATACCTAAATTTTTCATTTTTGTAGCTAAGGTCTCAAACCTTTAATAACGATGGCAGTTGGAGGACATGAAGACGGAATCCCTTCATTCCTCCCTCAATTAACTAAAAAAATTAAAATTTGAACTTATTTTGACCAATTAAATGAAGAGTAAAATAGTTGAGGGAATAATAATCCGGCCATTTTAATCTTCACTTAATTGGTCAGAATAAGTCAAAATTTTAATTTTTGGTCAATTGACGAAAGAATGGACGAATTCCGTCATCATGTTCCTCTAACTGCCATCGTCACTAAAGGTTTGGAACCCTAACTGCAAAAAATGAAAGATTTTGACATAATTTGCAATAATTTGACAGGTTTGGAACTCTAGCTGCAATTCTTCCTTCATTTCATTAAACAAAACGGGAAAAAATAAATAATTAAAAGTTTAATGATTAAAATAAAAGATAAAATTGAAAACTTGATTGAGAGGTAGTCGTAGGGCTGCAACTTGGATCATCGAAAATGGAGGGTTATGGGTTTGTGGTCAAAGCCTAGCCCCGCAGAATTGAGAGAAAACAGGATTGCGAGCTATTGATGACTGCAATAAATAACATCCAAAAGGAATAAAATAAATTGTCTAGGCCTGGTTTACACTATGTTTGAGCCCCATCCTAATTTTTAGAGAACGTACAATTAAAAATAAAAATAAAATAATTCACGTATTAAATTAGTTTATTAAAAAAATTATGATTAAAAATAGATTTTAAAAAATAGGTTCTAAATAAGAACTTACGTAATATAATCTACTGCGATATCTGCTACAATTATTAATTATAGTTGTTGACCTACTGCCCGTGGGATGGGCGAATACCTTTTTGTTAGCATGCGGTGATAGAATTACAATCATGTTATATGTGCATTATTTTTTTCAATTTTTTACATTTTGCTATGTGTCAATACATTATCAAAAAAATTTAAATATTATACAATTTTTTCATCTAATAAATAAATGGCTAAAGAGTATACAAGTGGTATTTTCCTATAAATAAATGGTGCATGGATAGAAAGTAATTTGCCTTTTAACAAATATTTATAGATATTTGTTAAATATATTCAAATCGTGGGACGATCGTCCTACCGATAATGTTGCAAGATTTCACTTTGAATAAGTATCGAGGCATGCTTGTTTTGAAGGAATTAAGTAAGTATGTTGGCTTCAAAAATTCAAAGATCTTGCTATCAACAGATCTCGCGTCCTTGTCTACATATTATTATCTGGACACTCAAGCATAACCTTGTGCACCAAAATGACCAAGGAAGGAGTTACTTAAACGATCAAATCAACTATCGATACAAGATATATCGAGGAATTTGGCATGGAAGACATTGTGGTGGGAGGGGTAGGCTTTGAAGCTCAAGTTTTTGCTTATAGATATATTTAAATCGTCGATCAACTTTGCACAATATTTTTTATCGGTCATCAAACTTTAAAAGTTTTTTAGATGATCATGAGACTTATCAATTGCTATCTCATGGCCATTAAATTTTAAAAGTTTTTCGGATGGTCATTAAACTTATCAAATTATTATGGCATGGGCTATTGAACTTTAATTTTTTTCAGATAGTCACCAAACATGTCTATTCGTTATTTTATCCACTATTCAATAACTCACCTTTAGAAAATTCGACAAACTAACAAGCGAAAATGTTGACAGCACATTATTATCGCTTGTCGATGAAATTCAGCAAAAACACGCTTCGTATTAAAGTGCTTATAAAAAAATATATTAAATTTTAACCTTTGCACGTTTCCCTTTATTTATCTATATTTTCATTTAGCATTTTTTTTCCTAGTTAACTGCACTTTTAAGTGCATTTTTGACTAATTTTATTGTCAATTAATGACAATAATGTGTCATATTAGTGTTTCTGTTTGTCACGTAAGTAATTCCATCAAATTTTATAGCTGTGAGTTATTTTGTGTGTATGAGATAACGATTTGATAAATTTGATCACCATCTGAAAATTTTTAAAGTTTAATGGTCAACGTGATAATGATTTGATTAGTTTGGTGATCATTCGAAAAACTTTTAAAATTTACGGCCAAATGAATAATTATTCGATAAGTTCGATGACCATCCGAAAGCCTTTTAAAAGTTAATGATCAATAGAATACAATGTGCAAAATTCAATGATCGTTTGAATTTTTAACCCTTAAGTTATGTCACTGACTTGCTGCAATGGACTGCTTTGTAAAGCGTCTTACCTAACCAGTGTTTGATAAAACTTAAAATTTAGATTTTTATTAAAGTCAAAGTCAATAATTAATTTTGATAACATATTTTATGAGATTCATATTTTTTAAATATATATTTTATTAAATTTTTATTAAAATTTATTAAAATCTGATCTGATGACGTAGCCATGTGCCACCCGCTGACAAAATCCGTATTCAAACATAGCAATTTTTTGGTTTCAACTGTAAGATCCAAAAAGGCCTCATCAGAGATGTATTTATACCTTACCTCACTGAAACCCCACCCACTTGGTCATCTCTATCAGTTGGACACTATTTCGGATTATCGAAACCTTAATCGTCGTAGCATATTTTTATAAGCTTTATTCCTTCTTTGATTATTATTAAACAATCATATAAAATTGCAAGTCTTCAACCCATAAACATTACCAATCCCATTCATCTCGCCGATCTTCAAGTTTCTCTTTTTCATAAATCTTGAATCCAATCTCATTAACCTTGATAATCCGACACATCTCAACCCCACCCCACCAAAAGAGTATGTTAAATCATTAATTAAAATCCCATATTTAGACGGACCCCATAGGTTTTTTCGGTTTCTTAATCATATCAATGGCATCTCTGTTATTTTCTTCTGTTTCAAAAAGTTTTTGTGTTTTCTTCTGTGGTAGTAGGGTGGAACATCTTTAAAACTGCTTGATCTGAATTTTTTTCCTGGGTTTTTTTGTTCTGAGAAAAAAAAAAAAAAGAGGAAAGATGAATGTGGCGAAGTCTCAGGTGTGGCAGCCTTGCAAAAAGAAGAGGCTTTAGAATCTAGGAAACCAGAAAATATTGAAAAGAAGCCTTTTTTATCTAGAGAGAAAGAGGGAGGGAAAAGAAACAGGAAAATAATGGATGGGATTTGTATTGGAAAATCGGCGTAGTCCACGAGAATAACCAGTGCTGAACAATCGAGAGAGAGAGAGAGAGATACTGTGCTTGTGCATGGCGACGACATCGAGATCAGGTGGCGGTAGCAGTGGCGGAAGTGGGAGGACGCGCGTAGGGAGGTATGAACTGGGTAGGACGCTGGGCGAAGGGTCATTTGCGAAAGTGAAGTTTGCAAGGAATGTCGAGACAAGTGAGAATGTGGCCATCAAGATTCTTGATAAAGAAAAAGTTCTTAAGCACAAGATGATTGGCCAGGTACTGTTGGATTAATTATTTTCTTGTTTCTATATCACGTTCAGCGTTTTTATTTCATGGGTTTTACTTATTTTGGTGTTGGGTTTTGCTTTATATTGTGTTTATGTACTGAAGAAGTTTCCGTTGACTTTTCAATTTTATGCAATGGTTTTTTCTTTCCATTTTATTGATCTGTAGTGTAGAATGATTATATTGAAATTTATTTTGATAGATTGAGCTATCATATATTGATGTACTCATGGATGATGCGGACAAGTGACTGTAAAATATCATACAGCTGCTACATAAAATCTCAATTATAAGCTGATCACACTGGGATGAATTTTTCTTAAAAGTTCATAGTTCTTTTATTTTGGGCACTTTCCATAGTTGCCTGGGTGTATTTCTGTTCTTATGATTCCTTATTTCCACTTATGACATATTTAAAAACATTTATGATTGTATCTTAATGTTGTTATAGCAGATTAAGCGTGAAATCTCCACCATGAAATTAATCAGACACCCAAATGTCATCCGCATGTATGAGGTTGGAATTCAACTTGTTTAGCCAACTTCTCGAGGAACAATTAAGCATATACTGCCGGATGTTCCTGGAGATGTGGATTTTGTATGCGTTGCTTGTATATTAACTGGCAAGTTTGATAGTTTCATAACTGATGAATATGGTATAATCTAGGTTATGGCCAGCAAAACGAAGATATATATTGTTATGGAATTCGTTACTGGAGGTGAACTCTTTGACAAAATTGTAAGTTTATGATTGCTTCTGTCTTATGATTCCAGTATGATAATCTAATTAGATATATTTGAACAAAGTGCAAACTTGGTATCACTTTTTGAGGCCAGGCTACTAAAGGCAGGCTGAAAGAAGACGGAGCAAGAAAATATTTTCAGCAGCTCATCAACGCAGTAGATTACTGCCACAGCAGAGGCGTTTACCACAGAGACCTGAAGGTGAGGATGGAACTTTATTTTTAGTTGCTCTCTTAATTTTTTTATTTTTATTTTTATTGAAACTTGGTATTGATGTATTTTTGGGGACAACAAAATACTGGTTTTAATTTCATTCCTTTTCATGGATTATAGCCAGAGAATTTATTGTTGGATGCCAATGAAGTTCTTAAAGTTTCAGACTTCGGATTGAGTGCTCTACCTCAGCAAGTTCGGGTTAGTAGACGGTTCGTTGTACCGCATGAAAAACATATCATTTTTTTGTACTCCACATTCTGTTTTTATTTCCTGTTTGGTGCATAAGGACATTTATACTTTTCTATAGAAGCATTACAAGTTATTTTGTAGGTTCTATCCACTACATCATAGAACAAAAAAGTAGGGAGAAAATCAGAGTAAATAAAAAAGGACGAACTTGCACCAGCTTATTTTCTTTCTTTTGAGAGAATTTATGCTATTCGATTAATGTCCCGGAAGGCATGTGGTTTTGATTATTGGTATGTGTCGAAAGCAATTTCGACAATGAATGCTCCTCAAAAGTAAGTATATAGATCCAAAAAACATGTAGAACATGGCTAATCTTAATTAATAAAGTTAGGGCACCTTTTTCTTGATCATAATCTTGTCGATATAGTAACATTAACATAATTAAAGATCCACGAGATTTTTCAAGCTCAATTTCTCAATTTGTTTGTGTAGGAAGATGGGTTACTTCACACAACATGTGGAACACCAAATTATGTTGCTCCTGAGGTATATAATTAGCTTTTGGTGCAAATCCTGTAATTTTTATTTTTTGAATAATTCTTTTCATGCTCTCTTTTTGGTTCGCTAATTATCCAGGTGATCAACAATAAAGGTTATGATGGAGCTAAGGCAGATCTCTGGTCATGTGGTGTTATCCTTTTCGTCCTTATGGCTGGCTATCTGCCTTTTGAAGAATCAAACCTTATGGCATTATACAAAAAGGTAATTTTAACGTCTTCATTTTCATGCTCACCATTTTCAGAATTTAGATTTCTCTGTATTATGTGCTTTTGAAGCGAATTGATTTTTCTGATCTCTGAAGTCTTATGTAAAATTTGAGAACCCAGTCAAAGAAAATTGATTATTTGGGGTTGACATATTATTTTTTTCTGCTTTGACAAATTATAGTGGTTCGAACCAAGAACCAAATAAAAATGTGACAGATTCTTTAAAAGGCGTATTGTTATTTTTGTGCTGGTAGCTGTAAAAGAAACTGAAGAGACCAAAAGAAGAGGGGGCATTCTAAGCCTATTTTGCTTTCTTGTTTTTCTAGATTTTTTCTCTATGAAGTTTTCAGTTGCATGACATTTCTTATCAAATGTGTGACTATTTGCTGTTTGTGGTTTTTGGAGTCAACCTCAATTTATCTTGCTTTCACATGATTGCAGATATTTAAGGCTGAATTTTCATGCCCTCCTTGGTTTTCCACCAGTGCAAAGAAATTGATCAAGAAGATCCTGGATCCCAATCCATTGACGGTATGTTGACAATTTTTTTGAGTGTATCAGTTATCATCTCTCTGCATTATATGTTTGTACTAGAAAAAGGAACAAGAGAAAAGCAAAAAATGAATAAAAATAAAAAAAAGTTCAGAAACTTCTTTATATTTTAATTAAAAAAGGAAGGCCCTGTTTGAACCAAATTATTGTAGAATGAGAATGAAAAATATAGTCGTTATTGGGGCCCATATAAGAGATAGAAAATTTGAATTTAAATGTTGATGTGATGGCTAACAGTCATAGTTTTCATTTTAATGAGATAATAATATAGATCAAATGGGGGCTAAGTGTCTCATAACCTATTTAGTAAATTTGGTTTTTTATGTTGTCAAGCCGATTACAACTTTGGAAGCCATGTATGATTTTGTCATGTGAAACAGCGTATCACAATTGCCGAGGTACTTGAGAACGATTGGTTCAAGAAAGGATATCAGCCACCTGTTTTTCAACACGAGGATGTTAGTCTTGATGATGTTAATGATATTTTTAATGAATCAAAGGTTAGTATCTCTGTGATGCTCTCCTAATATAAATTCCGGAGTGCTTTTCGTATCATGCACCTTGGTTACTTATTTCAACGGAACGTAAGTTCGCTATTTTTCATTTGCATCCAGGAATCTCCTAACCTTGTCGTGGAAAGGCGGGAGGAACGCTCCACCACACCAGTGACAATGAATGCCTTCGAGCTTATTTCCAAATCTCAGGGTCTCAACCTTGGTTCTCTCTTTGAAAAACAATTGGTGCGTTTTTTAGATTTGACGTGGGAGTGATCAAATAACTCAATTTTGAGAATTTGAAGAGAATTACCTACATTTTCTCCAATGACAGGGACTCGTTAGAAGAGAAACGAGATTCACATCCAAATCTCCTGCAAATGAGATAATCTCAAAAATTGAGCAAGCTGCAGTGCCTTTGGGGTTTGATGTGAAGAAAAACAACTATAAGGCAAGCGACGCACTTTTCGACGATTTCACCACACATTTCTCTTATTTGAGTTGGAATATTATTTGTAGGACAGAAGAACATAGCTTTTGCACCTTTCTCTGTAGTGCTTGTTTAGCAATTGCTTTTGATTCTTAAATTTTGAGCAACTTTTCCACTTGTGGTGTTTTGGTTATCATCTTTCTCAGTTGAAACTTCATGGGGAGAAGACTGGGCGCAAGGGTCATCTATCGATTGCAACCGAGGCATGTCGTATAAAGAAGCTTGTGAATTAATCATCATACAACAGAAAATATTTTGATATTGCAGGGTTTTTAATTGATATTTTATTGCAGATTTTTGAGGTGGCTCCTTCACTTCATATGGTCGAGCTTCGCAAGGCTGGAGGAGATACCTTAGAATTTCACAAGGTAATAAAGAAACTTTATGACGGATAGAAATAACTCACAATCCAAATGTGCCATCGTGCAGTACAGGACTTCATGGATAGATACTGTCTCATGGAAGAATATGCTTGGAAAAGCTCCAGAGTGCCATTTTTATGTGAACAAAAAGATTGAATAATTTTATCCACGTTTCTTATTCGGAGAAGTATCAGCTGTGTTTATGAATTCAATTTTGACATTTCTCAACATGCAGTTCTACAAGAACCTCTCAACTGGGCTGAAAGATATTGTCTGGAAATCAGGTGATGAAGTGAAGGATGAAGAAGTGAATAGTGGTATGTTACCGTAATTGATTTTCCGTGGAACTCTTTAGTTAGCAGTTTTTGGTGTAGTTCTACATATGCTGCGATTATGAATTGGTGAACCATTCTATAATATCAACATGACTTTCACACCCAGTTAAAGATGACAATTCATGACTGTTGTGAATCAAGTGATGATCCCTAATGTTGATAACAAATCAGAAAAGCATTCAGAAAACTAGAAAGCACACATATATCAACATTTTTTCACCCTAAGGCCACTGCAGGTTTTCACTCTAATGAAAAATAAGACTACCAGTTTTTCTTCACCTGAGGCACACACAAAATGGTCCCCTAAAATCCTTTTGCAAGTGGGAATATTTGGCCTATCTGTGGTGAAGAGGTAAGTCTTCAGTATGATTAGGTTCTGCATTATCCAACAAGAACTTGAAAGAATTATTTCCTTGCCTATTAGCCCCTTGAGTGTGGTTTCTCAACTACAATTTGCTGTGTTGGTGTTAGATTGCTTTGCTTGTCAAAAGGCTCACATGTTTATGTGCATTGTGCATGAGGATGTTACTGATATTATCTTGTTCAAAGATTTTACAGTAAGTTAGAACTTGTATAATTGGTATGTATTTAAGAATATACATCTCTCTACGAATTTGAATGAGACAAGTAATAGTTTCACCTATGTTTACAGTTCTTTCTCTTTTGCCTTGCATTTTTGAATGACAAATTTGAAGGTATTTCTATTCTGAGTCTGGAATCGTTCCATTCCGTTTCTTATTTTACAGGTGCGGGTGGAGTTTCATCTTGAACAGTCGTTCTTTCAAGATATATGCGTGGAATTACACTTTTATGTTATAAGTTGTTACGGCATGCATCTATGTTGTTTTGGGAGTCCACGAGTTAGTATGCTTGAATTGTTTGTGATGTAAACTTCGATATAACTTAAGAATATACTTTGTATTACTTGTTATTAAGATCCACAAGGATCGAACTGTATTTTAAGATCTTTCAGATGGGAACAGCTGTTTCTTCAATGCTCGTGTTACGTAAGAATCAATGTGTTATCATTGAAATTAGTTTCATATTTCAGATTTAAATCTATTATGGCACGTTTGGTCACAAGGTTTCTTGTGTAATAAACACTGGCCTGGATGTTATTTTTGTCGTAGAAGGGGACAGGCTGTGATTAAAATCTCATCCAATCCATGGAAATCCTGTCTTGACTAATAAATTCAAACCAAAGTGCCAGTTGTCATTTGCAAGAACCAAATAAAAAGCGACGTGGTCTCGCGGATTGTTCACTTTCAGCATAAAGAACAGTTCCAAGCCTAAATTCGAGTATTTTGACCAGGAAATGGCGGGTGAATTGGAGGAACTGAAGGAATTTCCACAGTATTTTGCATTTAGTTTGGAGAAAAGGATAAAGCCCAAGCACGTGGAAATTGTTTTAGGTGTGAAATTGTGGTTAGTTTGCCATTGATGTTGAAGAGCACTGACGAGGAAGTCAGAGAGTTGTCAAGGCAAGGGGGTGGATAAGGGAGTTGAGTCATATCCCATCCCATCTTCGTTCATCTCAAAATCTTTCAATGAGTCGAACTGAATTATTCTAGATCGTGAATTGAATTGAGTAGTTAATAATGTTTTTGAAGAATATGAGGTTAAATATACAAAATAATTTTAAGTTTGTGTAAATAATTATTTAAAAAAAAAAAATGAATGTGTAGTTAAAAGTGAATTTGTGAAAAAAAGAGAAGAAGAAATATTAGAAGTTCAAAACAGGAGCCTAATTGTACTAAAAAAATTAGAGTTAAATGTATCGTTGATCACTGAATTTCGTACTATGTCACCACTTATCCGTCGAACTATTGAAAGCGTCTCATTCGCCATTGAACTTTGCACCGTCATTATTCACCGAGTGATTGTCATTTCATTTGATGCTGACATGGAGGACGAAAATATGATCTCACATGTTAACTCCTTCGCCAACTCAGCTCCATTTAATCAATTCAACACTATTCTTCCGAGGAGATGCGTCTTTGATAATTAAAACCCATGGAAAAAGCACGAAAGCCATAATCAAAAGAAACCTAGTTCGTCTTTCACACGAAGTCGACATTGTAAACCTTATCCCAAAAACACAGTTGTCGAAGCTCCCACCTAGGGCGGACATAGGGTGGGTCATGGTGGGTCGCATGACCCACCAATTTTCTGAAACTTTCTTTTTTTCTTTCCTCTATCTTTTTTTAAAATGGAAATTACATAAAAACAGAATTTTTAAATTAACATTTTAAAAGTCAGATTTAAAGTTTATTTTTACAAGTATCAGAACATAATTAAACATTTAAATAATAATAATAATATTTTAAAACTAAATTAATCTACATACCCACCCCGAGTGAATTATTTCAAAAATCACTAAACTTATACCATCGTTACGGACTGCTCACAGAACTTTATTCTGCTTTACAGTAACTCACTCAATTTTGTCATTTACCTCTCCATCCATCACTGTCAAAAAATCAGTTTGTTGGGTGCGACATGGCCGACGAAATTCCTAGGTGGCGTCGGATGGTTTTTAAAAAATTACAAATCAACAAAATTATTGTTTCATCACTCATCCAACTTACACTATGTCACAGTTTACTCACCGAACTTCAAAATGCTTCCCAATGGTCACTCATCTTTAAGAAGTGCACTTCATCCATTATTCATCATATTTTATTCACTTCGTTGCTAATTTATTGTCCGAAAATTTCACGGGTAATCAAAAT